TCTCTGTGGTTAATGAGGGACAATACATCTTTGGGAAATTGTAGTAGACATTAACAATGCGCTGACCTCTGACATGTGCGCCTGACAGGATTCAACACAAATATAATATCTTTACTGCCTGTCTTCTAAATGAATATTAGAGGATAATGTACTGGATTAAACATAATTGAAACATAAGCCTAATAAACTGCACCAAAGTCAACAAAACCATAAACACTAACAATGTAAAGAGACACAGGACCATAAATGGCATTTTTAAAAGGACTTCACACACTCGCGCTATTGAGATGATGACCTCATCTTAGCCCCCATCATCACACTGCTCTTTATGAGATCATGTATTGTAGGGATGTGGTGTGTGTTAAGTTTCATTTCTCACAAAACAGACTGTCATTCCACATTCATGTTTGTCTGAGGACCAGTCAACTTTCAAAATGTGGATTCTGGTGGTCATTTGGAATTATTTTTTATTTATTTTTTTCGTGGATGTTAAGTATTTTAGACTAATTTTTTACTTAGAGGGATTTTCAATATTCTGTCAGACTCTGATAGAGCAATAGAAGGCTACATCTATTCATCAAAGTAAAAAATGACTTTATATCTCACAATTGTGACTATTATTTATTTTTACTATCTCACTATTATTATTATTTTTTTACCTAGAGGCAGAAGCGGGGCATCAATAAATACATAAGTACAAAGTAAGATACCTACAGTAACACCTGCATGTATTTGTCGGTTTGTGACCTTTTTTTCTCTCTCATTCACAGGAAAAACTATCAGCAGTATCTGGTGTTGTTACACCTGCGTCATGCCGCTCAACACTTATACTGGAATATTTTAATTACCCTATGTTCTGACGGTTTTGATGAAAAGTTGTCAATATATTGTACTAATGAAAAGTGGCCAAGGTATCTTTTTTGGTATTTTAGAAAAGCCTCTGTTCATTTCCTGGAAGGAGTGAGTTTGCTCTGGGAGTCTCTCTCTCAGTTTCTGGCAGTCGTGTCGACTCTGTGTGTCGCTGTCAGACACGTCGCTGTTTCTCATTGTGTCCAAAAGATGCTGCTTTCTAAAGAGGATTTGGATGAATAGGAGAAAGAACAGAAGAAACCGAGAGAGGAATTACAGAAACAAAGAGGACAGGTGGAGGAATAAATACTGTTGATCACTTCACAGGAAAAAAGAAACTCAGGCCTTCTACATCCTCTGAAAACAGTTGACAAGTTTTAAAGGGATAGGCTATTTCAGTCGAAAATGACATTTTTGTTATAATTTACCCTCATGACCTCTATGAAACACAAAAGTAGATTTAATATCTAATATATTTACTGAAACTGTCAGAGTAGTACGATTGCTGCATTGGGATATTACTATTTGTTGAGTTGGCAGAATTTCTTTGTTGTTGGCAAGCTATTCCTTTAAAGGTGCTGTTACCTGTTTTCTATCGTATCAAGACTAGCGCTGCGTCTGAAATTGCATACTTCCCTTCTATATAACGTTAGTAGGCGCAGGGACGGATTAACACACGGGCCTACCGGGCACTAGACCAGAGGGGGGCCCAGCCGAAATACAGCACCTGCCAGAACGCGATTTCAACCGTGGGGGACAGAGGGCATGCCCATTCAGACAGAGGGGGCACGTGGTCCTTCAGATTTTTGAGCCAAGTGGATTTTGAATGCAGCTTCCAAAAGGCAAAAAAATAGCCGAATGATGTTTTTATATTTGATACGATCACAGCGGTGGGTTTAGAACGTTCAGTGCGGCACATCATCAGCTGCCAAATTCAAACCTGCGTTCGCGCTTTGGCTAGCGCTGAGCCAGAGTCAGACTCGTTTTTTTTTTTTTTACAGCGCTGCGCATTATGACCAATCACACACGATTCTGTTGAGCGTTCAGATGAGTCATCGCTAAAACACCTTTGTTTTGTTCAGTGCGCGCGCTCGCTGACTGAATTCTGCTCTCTGGCGAATTCTCTCATCAGAAACAACAAAAGTGCAGATGTGCGTAAGATGTAAGTAAGATATTAATTTTACAGTGTAAACATCTTCAGTGATTATAATTTAATATAATAATAATAATATAAGTTTTTGAGAGTGCTTGAACTCTGGCTAGACTGAAGTCAGTGATAATCTTCTTTGATCATGTAAATGTTCTTTGCTCTCTTTCTGTGCAATAAAAGTGTTATAATTAGTAATAGTAACTTACTATGTTTTTATTAAATTCACGCTAAATACAAAGTCAGTAGTATTACAAATATTTTATGGCAGGACACCCTTATCTGGTACTTAAAGGGATAGTTCACCCAAAAATTCAAATTCTGTCATAAATTACTCACCCTTATGTCGCTGCAAACCCGTAAGACCTTCGTTGATCTTCGGAACACAAATTAAGATATTTTTGATGAAAGGTGAGAGCTTTCTGACCCTCCATAGACAGCAATAGTCCTAGCATGTTCAAGGCCTAGAAAGGTACCAAGAACATTGACAAAATAGTGCATGTGACATCAGTGGTTCAACCGTAATTTTATGAAGCTATGATAATACTTTTTGTGTGCAAAAAAACAAAAATAACTTTATTCAACAATTCTTCTTCCCCGAGTTACCATCTACCGCCATTATCGAGAGTAACACAACGCATGCGTCGTGTTACTCTAGATAATGGCGTTAGATGGTAAGAATTGTTAAATAAAGTTGTTATTTTTGTTTTCTTTGCGCACCAAAAGTATTCTCGTAGCTTTGTGAAATTACGGTTGAACCACTGATGTCACATGGACCATTTTAACAATGTTCTTACTACGTTTCTGTGCCTTGACCGTGGTACGACCCTTGCTGTCTATGGAAGGTCAGAGAGCTCTCGGATTTCATCAAAAATATCTTAATTTGTGTTCCGAAAAAGAATGAAGATCTCACGGGTTTGGAACGACATGAGGGTGAGTAATTAATGACAGAACTTTCATTTTTGGGTGAACTATCCTTTTAAGTAAAGAGACGGGTTTTATGCGTAATTAATGGATTACACTAACATTAGGCTACTTTGCCCATGGCCGTTATAAAGTAGATCAACTAACATGATCTATAAAGGTGCAAAATGCATTTACTTACACATGTTTGAGAATCGAGTTAACAGGTTAGGAAATATTTCAAATTAAAAAGGAAAAATTACAGAGGGGGGCCTTTAAGGGCACCGCTGCGTCATAATCCGTCCCTGAGCGGAACCGTTGAGAAACAGAGTTGCGACACGCTTTGATCTTGCCGCCACACGGTCACGTGGTTAATGGAGCTCTCAATAGTTCCAAACAACTCCGCGCTGTCAATAAGTTTGATTGGGTTTAAGTAGGATAGACAGCAGTTTCACTATATTTGCAGCTATTTCTAGTGATTATTAACACATCATGTGCATTTATTGTGTACTGATAACTACGCTGATTAAGTTTTTTCAATCGCATTTTATTCTGGGGAGTGATGAAGAGACAGCATTAATATTTTTTCTAATATGCTTATTATTTATATTACAATTAGCGTAGTATTTAGGGTTAAAATAGAGAAAATGTTTTTACATTCCAGTGCGAAGAGGCAAATTAGACACCAGAAAAATAATATTCCTATGTAATGCCATGGTTTAACCACTAGATGCCCGTATGGCTGTTTCATAAATCTAGCCTAGATATATTTAGCTCTACTCCAGTTGCTGTAAAGAGTTTTACTGGTCATAATAGCTTATTTATTTTATGTTTTGCATTGTACATTTAGACATTATCAAACACTCAATGTTTATAAGTTTTGCTTTTTTAAATGTTGAATTAAAAAAGATTAATTACTCACATCCCAGTATTATTTTATGACATTTATGTAAGAAGACAATATAAGTGAATGTTAAAAAAGGCCAGCAAATACGGAATTTAACCCAATAATAAAATAACGTTTAAAAAAAACACAAGTCAACCAACTGCATTCAGGGAAACTCCTTGTATTCCTTTAATGGGCAGTCTTCACTGAAACTCAGCAGCTCCATGACACGCGTTACTTCCGCATTCCTCAGTTCCTATGGAAGCCTATGGGAGTGTTGCAACTCTGTTTCTCAGCGGCTCTGTCCCTGAGTAGGCGAAAAAACAGTATGTGAGGCGAGCAGTATGTCCGAATAGTATTCGAAAAACAGTAAGCGAAAAGTACCCGGCCATAGTGAAATCGCCCAAAAAGGGGCGGTGCTCCACATAATGTGACTTGTCTCCGACTGGACTACTGCAGTGTTGCCAATTTAGCAATTTTGTTGCTAAATTTAGCAACTTTTCAGACTATCCTAGCAACTTTTTCTTTCAAAAGCACCTAGCAACAAATTTAGATATTTCTAAAACTTATTTGGCAACTTTTAGCTATACTTTTGATAAGTGACATTTCTATCAAAATCACACCCAAAGTGGAAACCAAAGATGCCTAGCAGTACACGGATCACATGAAGCTGCTATTTGCAATTGTTCAATTTAATAATAATATTTATAATAATTGAATAATTGTTCATTTATGATACACCTTGTTAGTAGCTTGTACCTGAGATTGTTGATCAGTTAGTACACTAAGAAAAATATCTAGAAAAATGGAAAAGGTACTAGTAATTTTCCAGGACATTATCCCTTATCCGTTGTGTAACCCATGTAACCTAAAAACACAAAATACAATGCGTATTAAAAATGCAGGTAAAGAAAAACCTGTGGAAAAATCAATATGGAAAATGTCTTCATATTAACATAGTACATCGTGCCCCGTTTGTACACTTTTCTTAGAGTGTAGCATATTAACGAAGTCCTAATACACTGCTTAAAACTATAATTGTTCAGAATGTGTAGTTTTACTAGTTTACTAGCTAATAAAAAAAACTTAAATTGTAATCGGTCAAAAATGTGTAAGTGTTCAGTAATTCAATGTTGTATTTAAATATACAGTTATTTATCTATATAATATTATATTATGCATTTATGTCATAATGTTAGTATGACATTTCCTAACTCACAACTGCCTCGTACTGTGGGAGGATAAACAGCTGGGATGTGGCGTGTCTTGAGTTTCATTTCTCACGAACAGACTGCCATTCCATATTCACGTCTGTCCGGGATCACAGCCATCATCAGAATGTGGATTCTGTTGGTTATTTGGATTATTTTTTTCGCAGATGGTAAATATGACACTTAAGATGGATTTTAAATAGCCTATTCCTTCGTGTATTTACATGGCGCTGCCTCGAAGTAAAACAAGTAGGCCTAATCGTGAGAGGTGTTTCTCACAATTTAAAACTATTTCTGATAATTGCCATTTTTGTTACTGTATTTCACAACTGTGACTTCTTTTTGAAAGTCACAATTAGTCTTCCTTTTTTATTTTATACTCTAGGTGTAAACTTTTTAAACATTAACATCTATGCGTTTGCTTGTTTTATATGCGAGTCTTTCACATTCGCAGGAAAAACTATTGGCGAGTGTGGTTTGGTTCTTCATGCATTAGCCACAGCCGTGTGTCAGCTGTATCTGGTGCCGTTACACCTGCGTCGTGCCGGCCAACACTTGGTTAAAGCTTGGCGTATTGATTTGACCACTGATTGCATTAATGAAAATGCAATCTTCTTTTTGGGAACTATTACTTGAAAAGTGCTATATACGATTTAACCATTTTGCTAATCATTTCCTTGCTTGTGAATTAGGCACTGAATTAGACCACACTCTTTCTGAAACTCCACTTTAAGATGTACACAAAAAGTACTCAAAAAAGAAATCAAAGAAGTACCATCTTTTTGGCACTTTTCTTTTTTGTTTGTTTATGTACACTTATCTTAGCATATCTGTGTGTATGGCTGAAGGCTTTCTGTTCTCATCTTGTAAAACTATTATTTCATGTTTCTTTACATACAGCAGTAATCAAGATATTACAATATCATACAAAAATATATTTTTTGCTAACAATTACGCAAGTAGAAAATGATTTCATTAAACAGTTATCAAAATTAAAAACCTGATAAATGACATGTTAAACATGCATTTTTACATTCATACTTTAAAGATGAGCACACCTTAATATCTTTGTGTTTTTTGCTGTTGAATACCATTAATATCTGTATGATTTTCACATCATCTATGAAATTAAATCATCTATACTGCAATAAGAGTTGAAAATAAATTATGTTCTACATTTAGAGCAGCTACTGCAGGTTTGTTCTGTGTTTGACACTAAAAACTCATACAGTACTTATACATATTAGCAATTCTACAATAAAAGAATTGCGAGTTGCTGTCGTCTGATTCTTCTCATCACAGTCTGGCGTCTACACTGATCTCAGGGGTCCATCCATTACCTGTAATGAAGAGGACGATGTACAGCACATTACTCTACACAATGGAGCAGAAATACCCTTTAATTTGCAATAGAAATCTGTAGATCAGAACAAAAAGCAATCGATAATCTTACTCCGCATGTCCCATATTCTCTTCACCGCAGATTTATTCACTCTGAACTCATTCTGGTCATCACTGAAAAACAAAGTAAGACGTTATAATTATCTTATTCCTATTCCAGTTTCAAATTTCATTTCTTAGATGTGTGTTGAAGCGGTTTACACTTTAGTTTTGGTCACAGCAGCCATCCTGAGCAAAGCTGAGAGAACATTCTTCTGTAGGTCAGACGATAAACACTCATACGACTGAACTTCACCTGATAAGAGAGACATACTGACAATAATGATCTGTTTTAATTATAGCATCATCTGATTTCATTAATCTGTTACATAAGTCACAAGATTATTTCACAGATATTGCCAGAAATCTCCAACTGGAAATGACCCACACCTGAAATAAGGAGCTTCATGATGAAACTGCGGATGTTGGTTGAAAACGTCTTCTCTCTCAATGTCTGCGAACTCTCTTCACACAGGTACCTAAACACCACCTAGACACACACAGCTGCATTTATATTAAAGGAGTAGTTCAGCCAAAAATGAACGTTTTGAAAAATGTACTCATGCCATCCAAGCTGTAAATAAATTAGTTTCTTCATAAGAACAGATTTGGAGAAATGTAGTATTACATCAGTTGCTCAGCAATGGATGCTCTGCAGTGAATGGGTGCCGTCAGATTGAGAGTCCAAACAGCCGATAAAAACATCACAAGTAATCCACACCACTCCAGTCCATCAATTGATGTCTTATGACTAAAATATGAGTCAACTATCCATAATATTGTTTTGTCCAGTGAAAAAGTTGTCTTGTCTGAATCAGGAGAGAAATATGGACAGATCAAGCACTCTTTTACGAGTGAAAACAGTTCTAAACAAATATGTTGGTGGATTTTGATGTGCGAGAACAACAGGGTTAATAACAGCGTTAATATGGATAATGCACTCATATTTTAGCCAGAAGCAACGGTTTGAAGTCAAAAACGCCTTAATAATGGATTTGTTTTTTACAAACATGCAGCTTTTCACATCACAAGATGTTAACTGATGGACTGGGAGTGGTGTAGATTACTTGTGGATTACTGTGATGTTTTTATCAGCTGTTTGAACTCTCAATCTGACGGCACCCATTCACTGCAGAGCATCCATTGGTGAACAAGTGATGCTACATTTCTCCAAATCTGATGAAGAAACAAACTCATCCTAATCTTGGATGGCCTGAGGGTGAGTACATTTTCAGCTCATTTTAATTCTTGGGTGAACTATTCCTTTAATTCTGGTGCATTCAAACATATTGTTACTAGCCAATGCAGATGGTGAACTGCCTGGACAATTGTGTAAACGACAACAATCACCTGGTAGCTCTCAATGAAGGGCTGCAGAATCGCTCTGAGGAAGATGATGGTTTCTTGGCCATTGTCTCTCACATAGATCTCTTCATCAGAGCGGCCGATTACACCAGACTCCTGTAGCAAAGAACAGCCCTCCTCAAAGTCCTGAGAGAGAAACGGATGTTTAGATGGATGTCATGTGTTTAACAGCGTTATTTAAACAGTGTGACTCACCTGAAGAGCTTGACCAGGAATTACAACTAACTCATTGGAAAAGAGCTCCAGCAGGAACGTAAAATTATTAAAGATGTCATCTAGAAAGTAAACAACAGTGGCATTGGTTCAAATGTTTGACAATAATAATTCATTTATTCACCCTCATGTCATTCCAAACCTGTTTGACTTCTTTCTTCTGAAAGAACAAAACGTAAGCACGCTGCTCTTTTCACATTTAAAGTGAATGGGGACTGAGGCTGTTGAGTTCAAAAAATGACAAAAAAAGTGCCAAAAGAACAATAGAAATAGTAAATACTATTTTTGTGCTTTATCCTAACTGTTCTTGAGTCGAACAATAGCTCTATGTAAGGATCAAACAGACATTTAAGTCATTTATTCACTGAAAATCTTCTGTTTTAAGTTTGAATAGTCACATGCAACACTATTATGGTGCTTAGAAATCAATAGACTTTCTTCCATGTATGAAAAATAATTTCTTGGAAATTCCTCAATTTCCCACAAAAGAAAAAAGTCAGCATTTGGGATATAGTTTGGGCCATATGAAATCCATTTAATTTTTTCCCAAGATCAAATTGATTTTATTTCCCAAAATATATATATTTGTTTTATTATAGATCCATTTTATTATATTCCCCAAATTTGGATTCTGTTTTAATAATTTATATACGTTTTTAATAATAAAAAAGGATGTCTAATTGAATTTACAGAACTGTTTGAATCTTTATGCTTTCTTTGTTTTATGATTTAATACAATTGTATTATCAAATTCCGCATTATACAATAAATTCCATTTTTGTGACTGGATTCCAGGATTCTGTCCACATTGCAGAAATCATAGGGCCCTACGTAGTTGACTTCCTGTGATACGACTCACCTGTCCTATGGCTTGCAGCTGTTGTCATAGCAACCGCCACCATAGCTGGTCTTGTGAATACATGTACTGCTTGATTCCTGTAGGAGGCGCACATGAGCACAGCAGCAGCACGTCTGAACACGCCCTCCTCTTGAGTGACAGGCCCCGGCCCCTCCTCCTCCACTAAATAGACACGCCCCCTCTCACAGCGTACAACTGAGTGATGCAGGCTCATGCTCGATGACATCACCTCAGAATCCGAAACATTCTCTTCAAATAAAAAAAACGAGGGGAAAATGGTATGTTTTGATATACACAAATATACTTTTAAATGATAAACACTGTAAAAGTAGATTTAGTTTTTTTAGTTTACACAGAAAACTAAACTAGTTAGAGACCTTTGGAAAGAGCTCATGAATATTCCAACCGTAGAGAAGTACACAGCTTAAATTCTATGATGTTAGTGCTTTGTCTGTGGACAGCATCTGCTGTTGATTTTATGGCAGAAAATAATTTGACTCATTTGTCAGTTTCTAAAAGCGAGCTGAAATGTGTTTACAATAATGCACTTACAGTACAGTGGAAGTCTATGAGACATTCCAGAGGGTTTACGGTTGTAAAAGCAATTATTCTGTACAAAAATATGTATTATTTGAGCTGTAAAGTTGTCTAAATGTTGTTTTTAGTATTGGGAAATTTGTTAGAAACTGATGAAGTTCTGGTTATGATCAAGTTTTTCAACATCCATCAGAAATAACTGCATTTACATGGTCCGAATAGGTGGTGAAATATGAGCCATAATTTTGAACAGTTCGTAAGTGATTTTAATCACACTCATCTCATGTATTTTTGTGTAATCTTCAGTTTTGGCTTGTATTTTAACATCTTGCCTTATACAGTAGACGTCGATTGTAAGTACATCAGTGCAAATAGGATTTTTCTTATTCAAACTGACAAATGAGTCAAAAATACTTTCTATGCCAACTGACAGCATGCAACAAAAGCTGTCTATAAAGCACTGAAGCCACTAGCTGATTGTATTTTTGTAGGATTGTGTAATGCGATCCCACGTTTACTTATAGAGCGTCATCTCTACATGCATCCTTACTGGGCCATCTGAGATGAGCTCCAAACCGCAGGGCGAGTCTCCTCAGCCACAGGGTTTTATGGGTCAGCAGGTCCAAATCAATGCCCTGGAGGTTTTGAAGGAGAACCACGGCCATCAGGTTCCAGGCGCTCAGTACCACATTTCTCTCCTGCAAACGGATGATCATGTGGGCTAGACCAGATACAAACTCCTGCATCTCCTTACTGGGCTTCGTAGGCAGGTCTCTGTTAAAGAGACAGAAGCAAAAAGAGTGAGCATACTACTACTTCTGCAGTATGGAGTATGTATACTTTGTGTAGTTTGCATGGAATACCAAGATGCAAAAAACATGCAGGATGGCATTAGACACACACTGTGCATAATACTGTATATCCCACAATGCACTGCACTCAACTTGACCTTGCATTTGCAGTGCGGGGACTGAATATCAATCATGGTTTTTAACTCTTTCCCCACCACTGACGATATTTTCTGTCATTTATTGCACAACACTATTGAGTTATTCTGCCAATCCTTGTTTTCAAAAATCTAAATTTCTTTAAACAGAGGCTCTGTTCTTTTTTTTTTTTTGGGATATATAATATTTCATACAACAAAATAATGTGTCATGAAAGATTTGTGAACATGATCAAAAATGGTGGCTGGAAATTTAAAAATAACACTCTGGCAGGAAAATAGTTCAAATCTCTATTTTGACTCATTATTTGATCAGACTGGCAAAATTTTTGGACAAAAATAAAATATAAACATAAAGCATAACAAAACTGCAAAAACGCTTAAACAATTAATTCAATTTATTCATTGAATTAAGTTTTGTTGTTTTTATTTAATAATATTTAAATACTTAAATACATATATTGAAATATTTTATTCATAATAAATAGCCCAGCTTTGGGAAGCAGCAATTTAAATAATTTTTCACTGCAATTTCACATAGTATTTTTTTTTTTTTAAATAGACAAGTGTGTGAGTGAATCACAGAGACACTATTAGAATTTTTATTCATATTTTGAATTCCTTTTCGTTTGTATATTTTCGGTTTTCATAGTTTTTATTGTAGTTTGTTTTGTCGTTTTTATTACTTTTTGTAATGTTTATGTAGATTTTGTTCATTTTTATTTGTTTTAGTTATTTTATTACATCCAGTTAAACTTCATAAAAATGAGAAGTGTTGTCTAGGCAAGAAGTTGAAATAAAATAAGCTTAAGTTTGTATATTTTATTTCAATTAAAATGTATTTTATTTCAAGTAATGAAAGTGGTTTTTATTTTTGTTTTTTTTATGTTTTAGGTTTAGTTTAGTTTACTAACTCTAGTGTTTTTATTACCTGGGCACCAGATTATACTGTCTGCAGTTTATTTTTCCCTTCACCAGGTCTCTGACTGACACAGGGTTGCCAAAGAACACATGCATGCAGCCATAATCCTCCTTCAGCACAGTCCTGGCCTTCAGCAAAGCCTGCAGATGCACAGCAAGAGCTCAGAACCAAGTTCATTCCTATATATTTTGAAATGCATTAGACTTTGGCTCTCTTTGTGTTTTTCACAGACTGTACCCCTGTGGTCTCTTTTGGTTTAGGCACACCCAGCAGCTCATGAGCGAGGAGCGACTCTTCCAGCATACGCTCGTAACTGATGCTGATGGGCACCAGACTGATGTCAAACACCTCTCCTTTAAAAAAAGGCTCTAGCACCATGTGCAACATTCCTGTGAGGATCCAAACACAGCTGGAGAACATGCAGAACCCCACATTTCCAGATTACCATCTTAACCACAAGCTTACCTAGTTTTGGCGTGAGAGATTTCAGCGTTCTGCTACGTAATCCTTCAACATAAAACTCTAATGGAGCATAACCTGTCTGCAGAAAAACAACTACTGTGAGTGTCAACGCTAATTATATTTTGGGGGCTAAATAAGCATTTTTGTAGTACAACATACAATAGCTATTTCCAAATACTTACTCAGGAGTATTTTTAGGGCTCTTTAATAATGTGCACTGATTAATTGTGCAAAATAGGACCAGGATCATGCAATAATTTTGATGTAATAAATTAAAAATAAAGCACTAAAACTAATATTTTAAATTCCACAAGTGAGTTTATAATATACAGTATGAAAATTGATATTTTGAGATTTGTTAAAAATTACATTCAACAGTGTAAAATTATAAGTGTTATAAAAAGATATAATATTAAATATATTAAATAAAAAATTTATTTTGTACACCCCTGTATAAAATATAAACTCTATTTATGTTTAAAAGTGACAGTAAAGGCATTCATAATTTTACTTTAAAAAGTCTATTGCAAATACATGCTGTTCTTTTGAACTTTCTATTCATCAAATAATCTTGAAAAAAATGTTTCAAGGTTTTCACAAAAATATGAAGCAGCACAACTGTTTTCAACATTGATAATAATAAGCAATCAGCATATTAGAATGATTTCTGAAGGATCATGTGGCACTGAAGACTGGAGCAATGATGCTGAAAATTCAGCTTTGATCACAGGAATAAATTGCATTTTAAAATATATTCACATATTCAATTTTAAATTGTAATAATATTTCACAATATTAGTGTTTATCCTGTATTTGTAAACAAAAAATGCAGCCTTTGTGAGCATAACAGTCATCTTTTAGTATACAGTGGTAGTGTACAGTAATTTCTAGAAATTTCTAATAATAAAATACGGACTAAATTCTCACCCGCACAATGGTTCTGACGTACTCAGAAAGCACCGCCCAGTACAGCTTGTCTGAGCCAATGGCACGACGGATAAAGAACGCTCCTGACCGCCGAAACATCTCACCAATCAGCTTCATCCCCATCAGAGCTGTAAGAGAAATAAACATGGACAGATTTGGATAGTTGTGAGTAGAGAAATAATTTACTACCACAGCTGGAATACAAGTTATTAAATCCACCTTTAGTGGTGCACAAAGCAATTATATGTTTGTGTTTTAACATGACAGCATTTAGTGGCATTTCAAATATTTGTCGAAAATGTCGGTCATTACTTGGTGCATCCAAGTACATTCAAAATATAACCTGACCACCTACAATTACATAAAAAAATCAGTAGATACTTGCGAATTCCAGCTGCAATGACGGGGATAGAGAGGTCATAAGTGAACATGATGTAAGACAGAACAAGGAAGTCCATGTAGCTCCTGTGATTGGGCAACAGGATGACGGGATACTCCTGAATGGCTTGCTGGAGCTGAATGATGACAGAATTCAGTGAAGCATTCCTTTTAAAAGAGAATACATTTTTAAAAGGACAGAAACTCTCACCCGTGTGAGTCCATCCTCATTGACGTGTATAGAGCTGAAGACGCTCTTAAAAACTTTGTTCATTATGGAGCCCAGCAGACGAATGAATCCCAACTGAAGGTTTTGACTCATCTCGTCCAGCAGCGCAGAAGCCTCCTCTAGAAGCGCCTCACGCGGTTCTTCACTCTCAAGCATGATCTGTGTGTGTGAGCGAGAGACGGTGAGAAAAACTTGTATGACATCTTCCTTTAATAACCATTGCTCTCTCTCTCACCTCTTGTATGACGTAGCTCAGGTACTGTGATTCAAGCACCATCCTGTTTAGAGCGGCAGCTGAAATGGGCGTGGCCCCACGGTATGGCTGAGGGTTAAAGGTCCGGAAGGCGTAGCTTAAGTCACTGCTCCGCCTCCTCTCCTCCAGAACGTCAAAGAAGCCATCAGCTTCAGCACTCTAATACACACAATATTGCATGTTCAATAAAGTCGAAATTTAAATAGCTCATACATTAACAGTATCAAACCAGCGAGTGCAAAACATATTTTGGTTGCTTTTAGGTTTACATATCTGAACAGCCCAAAATTAACATAAATTTGATTAAAAAAATTATATTTTAATTTTATACAACCAAAATAAAACATTGTGAAATTGCCTAAATAATAGGTTTAAGTAGACTCAAAGCGGCAATATAACGCTTTAATACATACCCAGATAACAATGGTTAAAGGTCAAAGTTATGTTCCAGTAATGTTAATAGAACGTTCATTTAAACTTATCTGGTCTTTAATAACGTTTGCACAAAAACGTTATTTATACATCTTTCATAGACATTTTTTTCTAAAACGTTTTAGTTAAACTTTCGTATTTGTTACGATTTGTATTAGAACATTCAAAAGTATGTTCCCATAATGTTTGCAAAATGATGAAATGGAACATTCTTAACGTTTGCATAATGTTTTTAAAACATTTTTAAAAAACTGGAAGTTTGGAACGTTTAGAGAACATTCAGAAATACCGTTTTATATCCTAATGGGAACGTTAGCTAAACGTTCTTAGAACGTCTTTTTGTTAACTTAGCTGGCTAAAAACAAACCATTCGAATAAGAGCTTTTAAAAACGTTTGTGGGGCGTTATTTGTCTACTTCTCAAACACAGAAACAAACAAAATGTTGTTTCTAATTATAATTCAAATTATTCAGAATTCAGAAAGGTGAATTATTATGAAAAAGCTAAAAACGCGTCCTGCGTAGCTAGTTTATAAAGGTTTCCGTCTTTTTCAATAAAGGAAGCGAAACAAAAAGTGAAACAAAACCGCTTTTCTCACCGTGTTCATACTGCACAGGTAGGCTACTTAAAATTAGTTAGCTAGCCTATAATAACCACCAAAGCGGTGTAACGTTACACTTCAAAGCGTTCTTCGTTAATTATAACAAAAGCGATATAGTTCTGGCACGTCGCGTTGTGTCGCTCTACTCTCGTTATTATAATACGCGTCCGGAGCAAATAAAATAAATCAAAAAAGATAACTAAACAACAGACAGATCATGTTCATACCAGTCGCTCCATGTCCCATGCAGAAGCAGCAGGTAATCTGTTCTTCTCTCTCTCCTCTGATGTGACAGTGAACCTGCCGACACTCGGACCGATGCTTGTGCACCAATGAGCGAGCGCACCGCGGGAACGCCTCCCGTCGCGTGACCTATTACCCCCAATAATCTCCAACTTTAAACAATGTGTCAAAGATGATCACATTGTTAAATAGTATAATAAACATTGTAATGTAAGTTACTTTATTATTGGTGAGCTGTAAACCTATTTCGTTTGGCGGATCATAGATTGTGTTTTAAGTCATTCTCATACGATGAAGAATTTTACCTGTATCGACTGAAAAGTGATAAACGTTTTCCATAAATGAAATAAACTGAAGCATTAATCAGAATGCCAGTATATTTAATGTTATGGTTTATTGAAGAGCAAAACAGATGAATTTCCACCTGAGAATATGATTTACTGCTCTTTCACTGAAAGAATATCAGAAAATCAAACCCCTACATCAATACAATCATATCATTCTTTGCAACTAATGACTGAAAATCATTTTCAATAAAAAGGAAAGGCAAGGCAAGGCAAAAAAAAAAACACTAGTTATATCATGGCATTATATCATAAATCGTTAAAACCCTAAAGCATAACAAAACTGCAAAAACGCTTAAACAATTAATTCAATTTATTCATTGAATTAAGTTTTGTTGTTTTTATTTAATAATATTTAAATACTTAAATACATATATTGAAATATTTTATTCATAATAAATAGCCCAGCTTTGGGAAGCAGCAATTTAAATAATTTTTCACTGCAATTTCACATAGTATTTTTTTTTTTTTAAATAGACAAGTGTGTGAGTGAATCACAGAGACACTATTAGAATTTTTATTCATATTTTGAATTCCTTTTCGTTTGTATATTTTCGGTTTTCATAGTTTTTATTGTAGTTTGTTTTGTCGTTTTTATTACTTTTTGTAATGTTTATGTAGATTTTGTTCATTTTTATTTGTTTTAGTTATTTTATTACATCCAGTTAAACTTCATAAAAATGAGAAGTGTTGTCTAGGCAAGAAGTTGAAATAAAATAAGCTTAAGTTTGTATATTTTATTTCAATTAAAATGTATTTTATTTCAAGTAATGAAAGTGGTTTTTATTTTTGTTTTTTTTATGTTTTAGGTTTAGTTTAGTTTACTAACTCTAGTGTTTTTATTACCTGGGCACCAGATTATACTGTCTGCAGTTTATTTTTCCCTTCACCAGGTCTCTGACTGACACAGGGTTGCCAAAGCACACATGCATGCAGCCGTAATCCTCCTTCAGCACAGTCCTGGCCTTCAGCAAAGCCTGCAGATGCACAGCAAGAGCTCAGAACCAAGTTCATTCCTATATATTTTGAAATGCATTAGACTTTGGCTCTCTTTGTGTTTTTCACAGACTGTACCCCTGTGGTCTCTTTTGGTTTAGGCACACCCAGCAGCTCATGAGCGAGGAGCGACTCTTCCAGCATACGCTCGTAACTGATGCTGATGGGCACCAGACTGATGTCAAACACCTCTCCTTTAAAAAAAGGCTCTAGCACCATGTGCAACATTCCTGTGAGGATCCAAACACAGCTGGAGAACATGCAGAACCCCACATTTCCAGATTACCATCTTAACCACAAGCTTACCTAGTTTTGGCGTGAGAGATTTCAGCGTTCTGCTACGTAATCCTTCAACATAAAACTCTAATGGAGCATAACCTGTCTGCAGAAAAACAACTACTGTGAGTGTCAACGCTAATTATATTTTGGGGGCTAAATAAGCATTTTTGTAGTACAACATACAATAGCTATTTCCAAATACTTACTCAGGAGTATTTTTAGGGCTCTTTAATAATGTGCACTGATTAATTGTGCAAAATAGGACCAGGATCATGCAATAATTTTGATGTAATAAATTAAAAATAAAGCACTAAAACTAATATTTTAAATTCCACAAGTGAGTTTATAATATACAGTATGAAAATTGATATTTTGAGATTTGTTAAAAATTACATTCAACAGTGTAAAATTATAAGTGTTATAAAAAGATATAATATTAAATATATTAAATAAAAAATTTATTTTGTACACCCCTGTATAAAATATAAACTCTATTTATGTTTAAAAGTGACAGTAAAGGCATTCATAATTTTACTTTAAAAAGTCTATTGCAAATACATGCTGTTCTTTTGAACTTTCTATTCATCAAATAATCTTGAAAAAAATGTTTCAAGGTTTTCACAAAAATATGAAGCAGCACAACTGTTTTCAACATTGATAATAATAAGCAATCAGCATATTAGAATGATTTCTGAAGGATCATGTGGCACTGAAGACTGGAGCAATGATGCTGAAAATTCAGCTTTGATCACAGGAATAAATTGCATTTTAAAATATATTCACATATTCAATTTTAAATTGTAATAATATTTCACAATATTAGTGTTTATCCTGTATTTGTAAACAAAAAATGCAGCCTTTGTGAGCATAACAGTCATCTTTTAGTATACAGTGGTAGTGTACAGTAATTTCTAGAAATTTCTAATAATAAAATACGGACTAAATTCTCACCCGCACAATGGTTCTGACGTACTCAGAAAGCACCGCCCAGTACAGCTTGTCTGAGCCAATGGCACGACGGATAAAGAACGCTCCTGACCGCCGAAACATCTCACCAATCAGCTTCATCCCCATCAGAGCTGTAAGAGAAATAAACATGGACAGATTTGGATAGTTGTGAGTAGAGAAATAATTTACTACCACAGCTGGAATACAAGTTATTAAATCCACCTTTAGTGGTGCACAAAGCAATTATATGTTTGTGTTTTAACATGACAGCATTTAGTGGCATTTCAAATATTTGTCGAAAATGTCGGTCATTACTTGGTGCATCCAAGTACATTCAAAATATAACCTGACCACCTACAATTACATAAAAAAATCAGTAGATACTTGCGAATTCCAGCTGCAATGACGGGGATAGAGAGGTCATAAGTGAACATGATGTAAGACAGAACCAGGAAGTCCACGTAACTCCTGTGATTGGGCAACAGGATGACGGGATACTCCTGAATGGCTTGCTGGAGCTGAATGATGACAGAATTCAGTGAAGCATTCCTTTTAAAAGAGAATACATTTTTAAAAGGACAGAAACTCTCACCCGTGTGAGTCCATCCTCATTGACGTGTATAGAGCTGAAGACGCTCTTAAAAACTTTGTTCATTATGGAGCCCAGCAGACGAATGAATCCCAACTGAAGGTTTTGACTCATCTCGTCCAGCAGCGCAGAAGCCTCCTCTAGAAGCGCCTCACGCGGTTCTTCACTCTCAAGCATGATCTGTGTGTGTGAGCGAGAGACGGTGAGAAAAACTTGTATGACATCTTCCTTTAATAACCATTGCTCTCTCTCTCACCTCTTGTATGACGTAGCTCAGGTACTGTGATTCAAGCACCATCCTGTTTAGAGCGGCAGCTGAAATGGGCGTGGCCCCACGGTATGGCTGAGGGTTAAAGGTCCGGAAGGCGTAGCTTAAGTCACTGCTCCGCCTCCTCTCCTCCAGAACGTCAAAGAAGCCATCAGCTTCAGCACTCTAATACACACAATATTGCATGTTCAATAAAGTCGAAATTTAAATAGCTCATACATTAACAGTATCAAACCAGCGAGTGCAAAACATATTTTGGTTGCTTTTAGGTTTACATATCTGAACAGCCCAAAATTAACATAAATTTGATTAAAAAAATTATATTTTAATTTTATACAACCAAAATAAAACATTGTGAAATTGCCTAAATAATAGGTTTAAGTAGACTCAAAGCGGCAATATAACGCTTTAATACATACCCAGATAACAATGGTTAAAGGTCAAAGTTATGTTCCAGTAATGTTAATAGAACGTTCATTTAAACTTATCTGGTCTTTAATAACGTTTGCACAAAAACGTTATTTATACATCTTTCATAGACATTTTTTTCTAAAACGTTTTAGTTAAACTTTCGTATTTGTTACGATTTGTATTAGAACATTCAAAAGTATGTTCCCATAATGTTTGCAAAATGATGAAATGGAACATTCTTAACGTTTGCATAATGTTTTTAAAACATTTTTAAAAAACTGGAAGTTTGGAACGTTTAGAGAACATTCAGAAATACCGTTTTATATCCTAATGGGAACGTTAGCTAAACGTTCTTAGAACGTCTTTTTGTTAACTTAGCTGGCTAAAAACAAACCATTCGAATAAGAGCTTTTAAAAACGTTTGTGGGGCGTTATTTGTCTACTTCTCAAACACAGAAACAAACAAAATGTTGTTTCTAATTATAATTCAAATTATTCAGAATTCAGAAAGGTGAATTATTATGAAAAAGCTAAAAACGCGTCCTGCGTAGCTAGTTTATAAAGGTTTCCGTCTTTTTCAATAAAGGAAGCGAAACAAAAAGTGAAACAAAACCGCTTTTCTCACCGTGTTCATACTGCACAGGTAGGCTACTTAAAATTAGTTAGCTAGCCTATAATAACCACCAAAGCGGTGTAACGTTACACTTCAAAGCGTTCTTCGTTAATTATAACAAAAGCGATATAGTTCTGGCACGTCGCGTTGTGTCGCTCTACTCTCGTTATTATAATACGCGTCCGGAGCAAATAAAATAAATCAAAAAAGATAACTAAACAACAGACAGATCATGTTCATACCAGTCGCTCCATGTCCCATGCAGAAGCAGCAGGTAATCTGTTCTTCTCTCTCTCCTCTGATGTGACAGTGAACCTGCCGACACTCGGACCGATGCTTGTGCACCAATGAGCGAGCGCACCGCGGGAACGCCTCCCGTCGCGTGACCTATTACCCCCAATAATCTCCAACTTTAAACAATGTGTCAAAGATGATCACATTGTTAAATAGTATAATAAACATTGTAATGTAAGTTACTTTATTATTGGTGAGCTGTAAACCTATTTCGTTTGGCGGATCATAGATTGTGTTTTAAGTCATTCTCATACGATGAAGAATTTTACCTGTATCGACTGAAAAGTGATAAACGTTTTCCATAAATGAAATAAACTGAAGCATTAATCAGAATGCCAGTATATTTAATGTTATGGTTTATTGAAGAGCAAAACAGATGAATTTCCACCTGAGAATATGATTTACTGCTCTTTCACTGAAAGAATATCAGAAAATCAAACCCCTACATCAATACAATCATATCATTCTTTGCAACTAATGACTGAAAATCATTTTCAATAAAAAGGCAAGGCAAGGCAAGGCAAAAAAAAAAACACTAGTTATATCATGGCATCATGGCATTATATCATAAATCGTTAAAACCCACTGAAACCCTATTTAGGAATACATGGAATAAACCCAAAAAGGGAAATGATTATCAGTTCATAAGAAAATATGACAGCATATATTTCTTCAGAAACATAAAGTGCTGGTTAAAAACATATGAAGGCAGGAATATCAGAATATGGCTGTGATATGACGGTGATATGAAATAATATTACTTAGTACTCCAACAAAAATGTATTAGAATAAATGAGAATAAATGAGTAAATCTCAGAAAAATAAATTTCTTGGTCATATTTTGCATAAAGAAAATGAAGTGTATTTATGCAAATTTAAACTTAATTTATGCTAATTGTAATAAAAAATAATAAATAAAAATGTTTGATTGTCAAATAAAAATCAGTTTGTAAAATATTGATTCTGGGGTGAAATATGACCTGGACATTTTAAATGATGTGAAATGTAACATTCAGTTTCAGTCAGTCTGACTCAAATAATTTGTTGAAATTTGTATCAACAAACTCGCTGTCCTGATATGATGGATTGTTCTTGCAGTAAATTAATATATTAACAGATGCTTTTCACCACAAAAGCTTGTGATCGCCACAAGCAAAACTGAAAAATTAAAAATAGATCCAAGATCTGAGCTAATTTTTACAAATCTACTAACAATATACTCATGTCCACAAGTGACATGTGAAGACTTCTATGAAAGAAAGTGCCATTTTTTCTGAGGTCCAGACCCACACATGTATTTTCTGTGTGATTTTCATATAATTGCACTGATTTCATTAAGTTCAGTTTTGGTTTGCAGCCTGTGTCTTTCTGAATTCTGTGCAGTTTATGTGAGCGTCTGTCCACACGTGATGTTGTGTGTAGATCAGTGCAGCTGTTCAGTGAGTGGTGTTCACTATCTGTCCATCCACGAGGGGGAGCTGTTCTCTCCAGAAGGTGAATTGGCTGAAGGTGTCACTGCAGGGGAAATCTCAAGAACCTCTGCGCTTCAGGAGCGGGAAAACGTGATCCACCACCTCACCTAGACGCATGTACCTGCACAGGTAAAGCACAGCGGACACACTCATTCATATCAAGTGTTCACGAACACACAATCAGTACTGCGAGAGTAGTTAACTAAAAGTAGCAACACAACAGACTGAACTACATTTATCAGTAGCATGACAATAGTTCAGCTCTTTTCTAAACAATATCATTTTCCAGGAATGCTAGTGGTTCAGTGAGTGCTACAAATAAAGCATTAGAATGTCTGATCAATTTTAGGCTGTGTTTACACTTGTAGTTTGGTTCTCTTGGTTCTTTTGGTCTGGACCAAAAAAAGTAACTGATACATTTAGTCCTGGTTTGCTTAGCGTTCACACTATCATTTTAATATCAAACCTAAAAATACAAAACAAAAGACATAAGGATATGGTTACAACCTGATTGGACAGCTTTTATAACATATATTTAGTGAACTTACTGAACTGGGCTAAATGCACACGTTGTATGTGTGTACATGTGGTGTATTTTTATTAGTTGATGAACAAAGAAATCGCACCAGAGTTTGATCTAATAGAACCAAATCTGTTAAAGGCCCCCTGAAATGCTGAGATGGTCCTCACTGCAGAACACAAGATCCAGGGGGCAAAGCCGCGGCTTCAGCGTCTATTTTATAGTGTAGGGGGTGGGCGCTTCTGATTCTAGAGAGCATTTGATTGGACAGAAAGTTTCATGAGAAGCTGAAGTACGATGTGACGTCAAAAAAATCGTTGAGCCGTTTTGGCGGAAGTGACGAACTGCAAGCTTTGAATGCTTATATCTTCTAATTGCGATTTTTGTCATTGTTTTGGAGCACACTGCCTTATAGATAACCTTAAGACTAACATATTGATACTAACACCCAAAAAACTTTAATTTTGATTTCATGGGGACTTTAAGTGTAAACAGGCTCTTAGTGAATTAATTTTCTGGAAACTTCATTTAAATGAAAAACTGTGTCCCTGATTCATTTCCCGTCTTCAGATTTTCTGGCAATGCAATGTGTGCTAGATTCTCTTTATTTACAATCACATAAATTCCAACATTTATCTCAACAGAAGTTTGCAGAATTGTATTAGTATTCCTCCAAAATAAAAGTTTGAGGGTTTGAACTGTTAAAAGGAATTGAAATGTTGAGGTTTTGAAAATTTGAGGGTTTAAACGAAAATGAAGAATTTCAGACATAATCATTGGTATTATAATTTGTAGTGTAAAATAAACATATTGTTATAATTATTATCAAATATTAATTTTTTACTTTGCAGTACAATGGTCATTTACAACAGTATTATATTTATGTCTTCATTTTTTATAATTAGTTAAAAGTAATAATAACAAACTACAGTTTCAAAGGCGCTTCCCCGACACAGTAGTCAGTAGTTTATACTCACGATGAGATGTTGGTCTTTGCATGTTCTGGATCAGTTCTCCTTTAGGATTGACAGTGAAGATTCTGTTTAAGGGACCGCCAACTTCCTTATAGGAAAACAGACTGGGCGATTACAAACTACACATCGCACAGATCACCTCCAGGCATCTTTATTAGGCATGAAAATGATTTTGAATGACAAGTTAGCCAATATTATACTGCATTTCTTGCAATCTTATCGTCTCTCATGCGTTCACTCACAGTGTTTCTGTTCCCAAACGCTGGCTGCATAGAAGGGCTCAGTGTTTGGGAGGAACAGATTCTTAATGTCTGTCAAACTTCTCCGGCCTCTTCTCGATCACCTCCCTGAAAAACAGAGAGATAGCGTGTATGTATGTGTTCTGCCAGATTCACTTGTACCACCATTTCTGACACTTTCTAATGTTTTGTTATCCAGTAGATTCTTTATTTGGGTCCAAAAACCAGGGTATCTTTAGAGTTTTTAACATAAAAAGAATAAAATTAATTCTGTATATCCATGCAGAACAAATCCAACAATCTCAAAAATAAATCATGTATCTCAAATTCTTTTATTTTAGTTTTTGCTGTTTTATTTTGAATTGATTACATGAAAATGGAATTTGGCTTAATATAAAAGCAACAGAAGTCCATGAGATGTCTCCAGATATATAGTTAATTAAATGTGTGTGAGTGTGCACTGTAAAAAAAAAAAAAAATGTCGAAGTTGTAAATAAAACAGATTATTCCAGAACATTTTACAAGAAAATATTATTTCAGTCTTTCTGCTTCAAAAATTCACATTTAATTCAATGTGTCACTTGACATTTCTTTGTGATTATTTGTGAAATTTACTAGCAATTTATTTAGTTTAAAAGAAAATCCTACAGTGGTAGGGATCCTGTTGTAATATGTTACAGTAAAAACAGTAATATTGTGAAATATTATTACCATTTAAAATAACTGTTTTCTATTCGAATATATTTTAAAATGTAATTTATCCCTGTGAGTCAAAGCTGAATTTTCAGCATCATTACTCCAGTCTTCAGTGTCACATGATCCTTCAGAAATCATTCTGATATACTGATTCGCTGTTCAAGAAACTATCTTAACACTATCTTACTATAACTGTTGAAAACAGTTGTGCTGCTTAGGATTTTTGTGGAAACCTTAAAAAAAACATTTCAGGATTCTTTGATGAATAGAAAATTCAAAAGAACAGCATTTATTTAAAATAGAAATCTTTAGTAATATTATTAATGTCTTTACTGTCACTTTTGATTTTGACTTTAATGCATCCTTGCCTCTTCTCCTATGTATTTTTGTAAAATCTGAATCATTCCAGTGAATTGGTTCATTTGAATGAGTCACTGATTCAAGTTCTGTATGGAATTCCAGAGCGTTTGTTTTTATAGTGAAATATTTAGCTAAATGGTGCTGTTCATTACTATTTTGGACTCAAATAAATTAGGTTTTTAGTAGTATTCAGTCTGGCATTAAATCCGTTCCAGGATTATCTAATTAATTAAGATTAAGATTGTAAATTAATTCAAAAGTTTAATTAAAGGGTCTTAATTAAATTCAATATACTTACACGAGTTGTTCTGAAGAGAGGCGGAGCGTTTTCTGATAGGACACGCCCCCTCCTGCAGGGGCAGGATCTGTGTGAGCAGGGACAGGGGTTTGTTTGGCAGTTAAGTCTTCATCGCTGGAGGAGGATTCATCTTTCCGCCTGTAAACAAACGTTCGGTCAGGCATATGAATGATTACAGACTGCAATAATTCAGATGATATCATTCTGTCAGATCTGAACCTGTTCTTGACGGTCTCGTCTCCTGCAGGACATGCTGAACCACCTGAGACTGAATCCTGCAAACACAAAGGACTCACACTTAAAGGGGTCATATGATGCTGCTAAAAAGAACATTATTTTGTGTATTTGGTGTAATGAAATGTGTTTAAGTTTCAAAAAACACATTATTTTCCACATACTGTACATTATTGTTTCTCCTCTATGCCCCGCCTTTCTGAAACGCGTCGATTTTTACAAAGCTCATCAGTCTGA